TTATAGTAGTTCAATCCACTTGACCTACATCCACTACCTTGATCTTCCTAATCAAGGATTTTCAATCAAACTTCACTAAAACCAATGAAATTAAGAGCTTTCACTAAGTTTTTACAAGAAAAACTTTTAACCCAAGCGCTAAACTCTTACAACAATCCTTAAGCTTTCTTAAGCTTAGTAAACCCCTTAGAGTGTCTTGCACACTCTAATCAATCAAGAAATAAAAAAAAGATTGAGTACAATTAATTACCTAACTGATCTAAGATTTACAACTTCAAGCTTAAACATTTTACAACGAATAAGAGTGAAATACAACTGTAAAGAAAAGGTTCTTGGTCTTCAGAGCTCAAAATCACTCTTGGTAGCTTTTCCCAATTATTCTTGACTATTGCAAAAGTTTTAAATACTTGAGAGACTGATTCTGGCCATTAGAGACAGTTTCTAGCCGTTACTAGCCTTTATTTTATCTTCTAGTGATTAAATTCAAATGTGCAAACAGAGTTCCATTAACTAGTTACAGGCATGCTCTAACTGATTAAGCTTTTTCTGGCTTGCACTATTTGGCAACTTTGTTCACTATGTTAGCCAGCTAGATAAAACTCTAATCGATTAAAAGCTTTCTATTTCCAATCTTTTCCAAGTAGCAATATTCTTTTAATTAGTTAGCTTTCCCTTTAACTGATTGAGGCTTTACTTCTATTAACCTTAATCAATTAAAATTAGCTTTAACTAATTTAAAATTTTTTGAACTTGAATTTTTCTATTTTGGCTCCCTTCAACGGTCAACCTTATTTCAAATTTGGATTTTGGCATTTGAAGGTACCAAAGTCCTGTGTTCTAACCGATTATCCCAATTCTTTAACCAATTAGCATGCCTTTGTTTTCAGCTTCCAACACTTTCTTAATCAACTAAGCCTTGTGCTAACTGAGTAAGGCATTACTATCTTGCTTTTGTGTAGCGCCCAGCTTTACCTTAGCTTTACCTTAACTAGTTAAGGTTCCATATTAATCCGTTAACAACATTCTATTTTCACTAAACCTTTTTTTCTTTGCTTCTTTAACTAATTAACTCATCTTGTAATCAAGTTTCTTGACTTGCTTCCAAACAATAGATACGTGAAGGGTTTTAAACTTTGTCTTGCACACTTAAATAAAGTAATTAGACATCAATGAAAGGGAATGGTTTGTTATTGTAAAAAACATCTGAAGTCAACAGCCATCAAATTTCCTACTACGACACCTTGAAGTATGATTTTCAATTTTGCTGGAATTGCAGCAATTTGCGTAGTAGTGACACAAACACCTACATTCGAAATAGGTTGAACCATTAGTGAATTAGGTTGTGAATTGTTAAAAAAAGTTTATTGGCATGGCAAAATTATTTTCTCCTTGAGAGGCAACAGTGGCTTGGGAATCAACACATTTTCTTTTCCCTTTCTTTTTTCCCTCATAGTCAAGTTTTGTGCATTATTTTCTACCCGCTTTAATTTTCCTTCATCCTATAAATCATGAACAATAATAGAGAAGGTATCGGCAGCATATTCATGCATTCTAGTATCACTAGATGCATTGAGAAAATCCTAAATTTTTTCTTTCCTGGCATTCGGTGATTTTTGCATGTTAACGTACCTATTCTTTATTTTCTCATCTCTTTCATCAATAGCAATAGCATGGAATTTGTTGGTTGTTTTCAGCAAAGGAGTTTTAGGGGCATCATCATAAATAATTTCCCCATTGCATGGCAATCTTTCGATCAACAGTCACCTATGTTTCATTTTTTTTTTTTTTGTTATCATGTCAAGTTGCAGTTTTTTCTTCTTTTTCTAGTCAGGATTTTCAATAAACTACTCTTGATTCCCTATTGCATGAATGGGACTGTTTCCTAGAACATTTTTTTTCCACATTCTGTTGCAGTACAGTGGAAGGTCCTGAAGCCTTCGATTTTCTAGATTTATTAGGCTTTTTGCCGAGAACCAAATAAGTAGAAATATCATGACCAACGTGAGAGCAATGAGTGCAATATTCTGGCATTTTGGAGAACTAAACCTCCTCTGTATAACCACCAGCATTAAGGCCCGATTGTCTATCATGGATCACTATTTAAATGAAGTCCTTAAGCAGATTAAAACAATCATACTCTACATAAAGCCTTGCCATGCTCAGTCTGGTTCCATTGGTTGTAGATTCATTGACATATAACGGATTTTCAATTGATTTGTCAATTGCTAAAAGCATCGACTTCTCAAATAGATGCGATTTTAGGTTTGGGAAAGAGATGCACACAAGCACAATTGATGGCTTTTTTTATTTCTAAATTGAAATCAAAGCTCCATTTAAAAACTTCCATCTTTTGATTGGCTATGAATCCTGCTTGGCGGCCCCAAATCCTCTTGAAATCATACTTATTCAATAAGTTAATGAGTATGTGTTTGTAGTCTAACCATCGAATGTTATAGGCACCGGAAAGACTAACAACGGTGAAAGCTTATTGAATAACCTCCATTTTTGGCATGCATATAAACTCCCCGATGATAGAAAACTTGAAAGGTTGTGATAGCTCTTCGATTTGTCAATAAAGGAAAAACCACTATTGAATTATCTTTATAACATTCAGGCTCACGATTGGTGGTTTTTCACTAGTAGTGGTGGGCAAGAAGGATTTTTTGATCGCCTTAGGGAAACTGGCAGAGGCATCATTGTCGGTGCTTTTTTCAAGAGGATTAGGCGATTGTCCATTGGCTGAAACTTAGGGAGGGGAAGTTGTCGAGTGAGAGAGAATTTGACATTTTTTATACAAACATTTTACTTGTGTTTTTTTTTTTTTTGTTAAATACAAGAAAAGGCAAACCATAAAGATATCAAGGAAATGCGATTCTTTTGGTTTTTTTTTTTTTTAATTTTTCTATGTGACAAAAATTACAGGCACAAATAAAGAGCACAAAGACTGCATAGGAAATTTCCATTCCATCTCTCCATAAATCCTCTGTCCTTATTTTCTACTCCATTTCATATCCCAATTCTCACAAATTGCCACGTCTATTTTCCAATTATTAAGTTAATACTGATTTTTATGTTTTTCTCTTTTATCATTTGTTTCCTATTTCTTTCTAGTCTCTCCATTCTTTTCTTTCTCCCCGCCATGACAGAGAGGGTTTACCCATCATCTATAGTAGCCAAATGGCAGCGTCACCCCAAGCACCTCTAGTAACCCTTCCTTCCCAACCACTAAACCTTCCACCTTCTCTAACGCCCACAACCCATCCACTATTGCTAACGCTGCTTTTGCTGCTCTTGTTGTGTTTGGACCATCGTAATCACCATAGAGGATGCTATTCTATATGATTTTGGATCCTTTGAATAATCAATCTTAGATAAGTTTTCTAAAATGAGGAAAAGAAAGGAGAGATTACGATTATGAATGATTTAAGCTTTTAAGTTTGAGATCTTATAAGTTCCTTGGTTCAGTTCTTTAATCAAATGATTTGTTAAAACTTATGTTTTGGGTTGTGAATGGAGTTTGAAAGTTGCCTTTATGGGTGAGAAACGAAGTTGAAAGAACTTTAATTTGATGTAGTTTGACTTATTGTAGGTGATAATCTAATTATAAATCATAACAATGTTGGAATTGACTATTAATTTTGGGAATTTTGTGAGTTTGAGTTTAAGTCAAGTTCAAAATTTTTTCTTACTAAACATTTGAAAGTTTTCAAGAACAATATTTGACAATTAGCTTAGGTGATTATTTAGAGTAAAGGAGAAAAGGATGGGAAAAATATCAACATTTGAAAGTCAATATTTTCTTTGTTAGACTCATGTGGAGAGTTAGCATTTTTTTACCAGGTAAACGTTTTGCCATGTCAATATTATGGCACATCATTTCTATTAGTGTCATGTCAACTTGATCAAAATATCACATTTCAATTCACACAAATTATTGTACAAAGATTAAATTTATACTTTTTGCATAGTATAAGGACTGATTACATAATTTAACCTAAAATATAAACATTAGACAATTTGTGAGAATTGAGACAAAACATGTGGTCAGAGGATTTGGAATCCAAAAGAATATATTCTCAAGCAATTGAAATTTGAACAAACTAGCATTCTAATGGCTATGATAGGGATTTTTTGGTCCTTTTTAAGAATATTTTTACGCCAAAACCAAATTTTATTAATTTGCATTTCAAATATTGAATGTTTTCAATTTAGACATAATGTTAAAAAAAACTCTTAAACTATTTAAAAAAATTCAAATAAGCCCTTCATTCTTTTATTGCTTTCAAATAAATCAATATATTTTTATTTAAGGTCAAATAAACTCTTATGATTAATGATTGACTAATTATTATTAGTAAAAATATCACTTACCATTTTATATCCACATGGTATTTTATATTCATATGGCATTGACATGGCATTGATGTACAATGTAAAAAATGTCATATGATCATATTATTGTGCCAAATTAGCATGACACATCATCATCAATTATAATCAATCCACATGTCATACCATTATCAAATTATGATATGTTAATATATCATGTCAGCTCCACGTGATATAAAATGACTAATGACGTTTTGATTAAATCAATAATTAATCATAAAAGTTTATTTAACTCAAAATAAAAATATAAAAACTTATTTAGCTCAAAATGAAAATACATAAATTTAAAACCTAAAACTGATGCCGTTAGCAGGAAAAATGTAAAAGAGGGCAAATTAAGATGACAAAAGATTGGCTACTCAGGTCACAAACAAATACAAGTTTTTATTAATTTTAAAATTCCAATTTCAATTCCATCATCCTTTCTTTCAAGATGTAGAAGTTGGCCTGCGATTCAGTTTATGAACAAAGATAAATCATATTGCTGGATCATGCTAAAGCTTTTCCACAAGTTTTGGCCACTTTGCTCAGTAGGAAGGAACAACTCTGAGCGAAGAACAAGGAGTACTTCTTAATACAATTGTGCAGCTACACCACTTTAAAACAAAGAGTTTTAGATGCTAGAGTTGAATACTTATATGAAAGTAATAATTTTACAAAATGATTAAAAGTAATTTTGTCTACATAATTTTTTTGCCTATTCGGTAATAACCATTTCCCAGTTTCTCCAAAAATAGTCATTCCAACAACACTTACAAATGAACCAAACAATGCCATTTATGTGAGCAAAAGGTACAGAGGATAAACATGCCCTTACTTGAAGAGGGAAAAAAGCCTTGTGTGGCATATATATAAACACATCCCATATAACTGGATATAATGAAAGAGAATGAGCATCAGCTGTGCCATTAAAACAATTGTTGGAAGCTCAAAACTTTTTGCTAGTAACCACCTTATATCATATGTCATCTGCTCTCAACGACTCTGCAATGATCTCTTGGCAATCGAATCCCACAAGCTTCTGCTACTTGGACTTTCCTCTTTTACCACTTCTACCAGATTTTTTACCTTTGTTCTTGTTGCCTTTGCCCTTCATTAATGACATCTTATTTGCCTTTTTCTGCCTTTCCTTTCGCACCTGTTCAAGATCTTTAATTTCTGAACGCACATGAGCATTAGGCACAGAGTGCTGTGATTTCTTGTTCCCTCTAAACTTTCTAGCATTACCTCGTAATCGATAGTCTCCTGCATGAAATTGTTTGCCCAAATAAATAATAGATTGATTCTACCATCACAAGACTAGCAGCATTATAAACAAGTATCAAAGTTGCAGACAACACAAAGAGGGATGGCTAACTGCTATTACAAGCAACATTCAATTTTGAGAAATGGAAAGGGATAAATGCAATGACAGATTTGGCACTATTATCATTCCATAGAAAGTACAATGTTACTTGTTCAACCATCCAACTGTTTGTAAGAGCACTGTGCATGTTTATTTTTCAACATACAGTGCAGATTTGATAACTGAGAAAGTCTCGTATTAACAGCTAGTATCATGTTGGGAGAATGATGTAACAGTCCAGTTAAGCAGCTAAAAAAGGAAAACTTGGATAAGGTGCCACAAACATTATGGCCAATGCAGAAACAAGTTAAAAATGAGCAGAAGCTGAATTAGTTTGCAAAGAGCAGATAGAAAGATTTAAGCACGTGGCTAAAAACAGGAGATGTAGAACCAAAGAAAAAATCAAATCCACTATCAAGTGTATGTTGCATATGGCTACAAGGAACTAATCTGGGACATATAGTAGTAATAAATTGGAGCACATCATCAGTATCCAAGAAAAAGAAAAAGGGAAAAAATGGGCAATCAGAGCCCCACCTGATGAGTTTGCTGTCTCAGCATTCTCTCCATTACTTGTTCCTTTGAGAGATACTTTTCTGTGAGATCGTTCTTTCCACTTCTTGTATATTCCTGTTTTCAGAGCTTTTACTTTTGCACCACTCTCCGTCTTAACCTGAAAACAACAGAAAGTAATGTGAGAGGTCCCAAACCATCAGGTTAGTTACTGAGCTAGTCCACCATCTTTGCATGAATCATTAAAAACCCTCATCGATAAACTACACCTTCATCATGACAATAATTATAGACAATCCCAATAAAGTTATCTCACAACTCTCAATGTTCTTTTGTGATGGACAAGAAAGACCTGGCATAGATTCATTGGCAAGCTAGTTGATAAGATCAGTTACAACCATAGGACTAAGCCATCAAAGTAGCATTGTTTACAACCTAGAAGACCTTGCCTAACATATAAGACAGAATATCGATAGCATCAAGAATAACTTATTTATAATGAAAAGGTAGAAAAAAATTTCCTCCCACATGCACCAAAACGACCAATGGGTATAAAAGCAGTCAATAAAGTCATCAGAGACTGAAGCCAAAATGCCAGGGATGTATTTGAATGACAGAATGAGCATTGCCATATAGCTCAATATAGCAACAGAATTGTTCACTGGCTATGGTTGAGATGGCATCCAACGTATCTTAAGCGATAAGCTTGAAAGTTGAAACTAAAGGGAAGTGATCATCCAGAAAGACAGGCACAAATAGAATCAACAAGAAAAATTACCTTTCCACTAGCTGTAACACGTTCACCATTATTCAATTTGACATACTTTTTACTCCTCTGCACACAAAGGTTCATATGACTTGAATTAAAAACCAAAAAAAGTAGTTTATATAAAGTAAAAAAGATCAGTATTCAAATAGCTCCAAGCACCTTATCCCAATGAAATCTGGTTTTTTGTTTCTGCAAACCTTCACTATCATCAGCAACAAGATCCAGGACAGCAGAATCCAACCTGCAAATACAAAAATTATTTTAGCATACATGCAACCATTGCAGACAGGAGAATTAAGTCCCAAGTACATGAATATGTTTCAAATTTAAACAGCAATTTTTTATCAATTTTTGTTTTCTCATATTGCGTAAGAGCATACATGCACATCTTGATTAAAGCAGAATCTTCTTCCACTGCAACATATGCAAATGTAAATGGGATTACCAGATATAAAGTGAGACACAAAGAACGAGGTCAGATAAGACTCAAACAGACATCAACTATACAAGAGATTTAGATGGCAAGATAAACTTGATAACTTATAATGATACATTCTCTAGCGTCAAAATACTTGCCATCCGTCCAATCTCTTCCAGGAAATTTAAATTTGTATATCACCAACTCCTCACACGGATAGGGGGAAGAACCAACAGGCAAAATGAGCTAAGAAAATATCAGGATATGAACTTTACCTATGTGATCCAAACCCTTCATTACTTCTTACTGAGAGACCAGCCTCCATATGCTGAAAGTGATAGCAATATGCACACAAACTAGTTAGCAGATTTCACACATTAAAACAAAACTCAAAGTTCACATTAGAAAATACAACCAATTGTAGTATATTATTGGCAATCTGAGACCACAATTGAAAGGAATTTCCGTTGGAAGATCTGAATGTAACGTACATGATTTGTTGGCACAGCACTTATATAATACTCCTCATCCTTGAAGTTTGTTGCCTTTCTTTTAGAACCACGAGCTTCTAACATATACAAAAGAGAATAAAAACATTTTATCTTGAACAAAACAGAAAAGAGTAAATTCTCTGAGAAGACCCATCATTTATTAATTTATAAATATAATTGTTAGGACAAACACGGTTAGTTACATGTATTTTCGTTAAACTATTTGTTGCTGAATTTTACTCATTGGTTAAGTGTTGGTTTCCTTTTACCCCAGTTAAAAAGGGATCTCACATTTTGCCAACAAACCTGGCTCATAAGATCCTAGAATATTTCTTATGAGCTCAACCATTCAAAGCATAAGACGTAGCTCCTGTTACCCTCTTCATCCTTCTACTCCATATAAATAGATAATGAATAAAAAAACCACTCTATGAACACAGGGTATTCAGTTGGAAAGAGAAAGAGAGCTCTAATTAGAAGGAATAAATTAAAAACTGAAAAGGAAAAAAACCTTTTATCTCCTTGATCTTCGAAGCAGTAACTTCAGATTGATCTTCCTGCAAATATTCAATATGAACTTACATAGAAATGAACAGACAAAATGAGATATAATAAAAACTGAAAAACTTAATTTCCAATAAAAACATTGAAAGAAAAGCTCAAACCATTTATAATCAACCATGTTTGTAACTAAAATAGGTCTAAGTCAACCTTTTTCTCCAAAACCATGATTCAGGACCTCTCAAAACAACCATGAAATTTGAAAATAGATCACAAAAATGATCATACTATTGAAATAATTCCAAAAATGACTAAAAGGTCTAGCAACTAGCCAGAAAAATTATACACCAGATACAAATTCTATAAAGATATCAGAAGTGTAGTTTGTGTGTGGGTGGGTAGCAAATACTAAATAAATATAATGTTATGCAACCATCATTTTGCAAACAGAAAACTAACCTTGTCCACATGATTGCTAGAGCGCTGCTTATGAACCAAATTAATTATCTCCTCATGTATAGCTCTCTTCTTCTTCATCACATCGACCCACTGACTAGAGGAACCCTACCATTAAGCCATAATTCCAATGCAACATATTAAATGAGGAAAGAAGCAGCATTGTGAATATTATGAAGAAAACATATAAAAAAAAAATTGGAAGATATACACAGAAAGTAAAGGAAAAAAATTCACATCTTATGGCACAAATAGTTCATGTGACCGTCAAGAAATTATTGCATTGCTTTATAACAGTGAGGAAAGAACATTTGCCTCGGGGAGAGGAAGAGGTAGAAAACCACATTGCAAATGTGGCAATGCCATGACCAACTCCAAATCTTATGAGATTCATTGTGCTATTAGGTTGTATGACTTGGCAGAAAGAAATCATGTCCCCAAATGAGGGACAGGATTGCTCCAACATTCTACGACTTTCCTTCATGGGGATGTCTAGAAATTCAACAATAGGAATGCAAACAATTCAATTAAAAATAATGAGAAAGTTTCCAGCTTAGGTTTGCGGGGATCCCTCTCTTTTGGCATGCAAAAGTTCTTTTAATCACTAAGAACAAGCAATTGTTTCTACTTGGCTCCTCAATATCCTGTAAAAGTTTTCCAAATAAACTTTGCTCCAAATTCTACTTCATTTTCATCATTATGATCTCCAGGTCTTTTTCACAGGTTTTGTCATATCTCATCTGTTATTGGTCAGCTTTGACCAATTTAAACCAAACAAAATGCAAACCATTGTGGTTTTTCAACACGATAGTGCGCAGAAAATAGAGGACAAGAATGCTTCACCATATTCTCAGTGTATTAATCTAATACAACATTTTAGAGACTAAAGCATAAAAGATACAGAAAGGACAAAAATTCATAATATTTACGTTGGAAAGATCTTTTAACTGCTGGTAATATGCCTTGATGCACTCATGTAAGTGCCCTTCTCAAACTACAGATTGTACATTCAGGTCAGTCAAAAATTGACAAGGAGTGCAGCATAATTGTCTAGGACACTAGCTTGTACTAATGCAAGAAAGAAAGAAAAGGCAGAGGACTCAGACTAGGTAAGAGCCAAAAGCAAAAAAGGTAACCAACGTACTTAGAAAGTACTCAATGACAATAGAAAGAAAACACCACAAATAAAAATTGCAGAGTTACCTGCGAATGCTTTGATTTAGCAGCTTCACCTTCAGCTTCCAGAATGGTCTGCTTGGGTCTGGTGTAAATCAGTAATTGTAGAGTTAAAATTTTGCAGCTTCAGAATCTCACAAATTAAAAGTGAAAAGGAAAAACACACAAAAGCCCAAAGCGACAGAGAACTTAAACATTAAGCAGAAACATATTGCAGATGAAAGGCTGTTATATCAATTACCTGAAAGCCTTCAAGCGTTCAGAAAATGCAAGTGCCACCAATTCACCTCCTTCCAGAATGTTTTTGAAGATTGGATGCAACCCTTCACGAGGCAAATCCTTTGCTCTTTTAATGGACTCCCGTGCAGGTAAAGGTTTAGTCTTTGAATACAAGCGAAAAGCATTTGTACAGGTTTTTTGCAAATTATTCAGTTCAGCAGATGAATCAATCATTTCCCTAACCCTATCTGAAACAAGATCAATAATTTTTTGAGGGAAACGCCCATAAACAGTTTCTCCATTTGTAATTGCTTGATCAATTTTATTCATTACTCCATCCATATCCTGCAAAACCTCCTCTTCAGTAGGTGCAGCCCTGATTGGTCTTGAGAGAAATAGATGCAGATCTAGAAGGTATGGAAAATCCTCAGATGTCACAAAGGAAAATGCAGTACCAGTCCGACCTGCCCTTGCTGCTCGTCCCACTCGATGAACAAAAATTTTGGGTTTTGGAGGGAAGTCCCAGTTGATGACATTATCAAGTAAAGGTATGTCGATTCCCCTAGCTGCAACATCTGTCACAACAAGCAACATAGTTTTTCTAGATCTGAATTTTGATATATTAATTTTCCGAGCATCTTGATCCATATCACCATAACATACAGAAGGCTCGATACCCTCTTCTCTAAACAAAATATTAAGGAACTCCACATGATGTTTTGTAGAAACAAATATCAAAGTTTGCTGATCAGAACTGATATGGTCCCTTACCAAATACAACAATGCTGCATGTTTTTCTTCCTGGCGTAAGGTGAAAAACATAAGCTTTAGGTCAGGGCTAATCTTGGTTTCCAAATCAAGCCGCACAAGCTGAGGGTCTCGCAGACCAGCCTTCGCAAACTCAGCAAGGGCACTCGGTAATGTTGCACTAAAGAGCAAGGTCTGACGGTTTTCACTAAGCTGGGTAAGGATTTTATTCAATTGTTCAGCAAAACCCATGCCAAAGAGAGAATCTGCTTCATCAAAGACCACATATTCCACTGTACGAAGTGACATATCGTCAACTTCTGTTAGATGGTGCATCAGTCTACCAGGAGTAGCAATAATAATATCAGGGTTCTGTGCTAACTCTTCAAACTGGTTTTCCATGCTATCACCGCCAACAAGCAAACTAATACAAAGATCTACAACAAAGACAACAGCTTTTGATAAGTTGGCATTAACGATGGCAGGCCAATCAAAAACAAATTCTTAGTCGGTTATAAAAACTTAGCAATATTGCAATCAGTTTAAGATAATGTGGGTGTCATCTTAGGATTTTTTTTCCTATTATTAATGCTATTTGATTGCATTTTCTTTACATTTTACAACCCTTAGCAGTCTCTCAAACTCAACACAAAGCAACCTAATCAATTTTAACGGGAAGAAGCTAAGGTTCTGTCTGGTTATTACTTTTACTACTGTAAAGCTAAGAAACCATGCATTTAGCTATTCACAAAATTTTTAAACCTTTTAATTATTCAATAATTTAACAAATAAATTATGAGTAATGAAAAATGAACGTTAAAAAATCACTTCATGAAAAATTTTAAATTAAAAAAAAAACCTGTAAATTTTCCCAATTCCTTGGTGAACTTCAATGTCTGCAGGGCCAGATCTCTAGTTGGAGATAAAATAAGGGCTCGGACACCGCCCTGAGGCACGTGCTGCTTCAGCTTCTCCAGCATCGGCACCAGAAACGCCGCCGTTTTCCCCGAACCTGTCCGTGCCATGGCAACGACGTCGTTTCCAGCAAGAATAAGCGGCATGGTCTTGCGCTGAATTGGAGTAGGGACTTTGTACCCCTTCCGCTTGATTCCTCTGTAGACATTAGGGCTTAGGTTCAGCGACTCGAATCCGCCTGATTTGGCCTTTTTCTTTTCTTTTTGTTTCCGTTTAAGCTCCGCTTTGGAGCTTACCAGAAGCTCCTTTTGCGCAGCCATCTATGCCTGCTGCTATCGTTTTTCTTTTTCCAGGAAAATGTTTTGTGGAGAAACAAGCAGAGAGGAAGAGAAGGAAGCGGCGGACGGGTAGAGTCGGCTCCTTCGTTCTGCTGACAGTTCCGACCAAAAGTTGCTTCAAACAATGGCCTAAAACCCTGAGCGGTTTTAGGTCTCAAGATTTTTGGTCTAAAGTCGGCCCAAAAAGGTTTTTGGGCCTTAGAAATGGATTAAAAGCATTACAATATAATTTTTTATTTTAACACTGGTGTCGAGTCATTTATATTTATTTAATTCTTTTTTTTTTATACATTGATAGTTCATTTATTAAATTGAAGATCAAACAAAACCATCGACAAAAAGAAAAAGTAAGAGAGGCGACTTCGGTATCAAGAATTGTGTAAAAAAAATTATCCTTTTTTTATTTTTTAAATATATTAATGATATATTTAATCGAAGAAAATAAATTAACTAATCTCGTATCCCTTATTCCATAGATATAACTTTATCTCACTAAATAGTCATTTCAAAAAATAATCAATTTCTTGAGAAGTTGAAATAAATCTCCTTTAATAATGACTTTTCTGCCAAACCTTCCTCTTCTTCTTGATCCACAACTAGACCTGGTCACAAAGATTTAACTTTGTTTAAACAATCCATTTCACTAGATATGTTGGAGATCCAATCCAACTCAATTAAGCTGTTTGAAATTTTCACTAACAATTTCTAGACCTGGAAAATTTAGATGCAACACGTTAACATGATATGAGAAAATACGGGATTAAATAAATTTGGGTTTAACTTATTTAGTATTTAATCGTGTTTGACATGTTTAAGATATGAAAATTTTCGTGTCTTATCGTGTTAAACACGAGTAACACATTTAAAACATATTTAAACATGTTTAATTAATCGTCTTAATAGTGTTATCATGTTTAAACGTATAAATGTGTTTAATCGTGTTTTCGTGTTTAAACGTATATACATAACACGTTTATCAAATTGTTAAAAATTAATAATCAAAAACTGTTTTAGCCTTACTTAAATAATTTTAAATAATTATTTTAATAAAATTTTTAAATTTTATAAAGATAATAATATAATTATGTCATGCCCAAATCTTAATTTTTAATTTTATTTTGTTACATTTGATGTTTTTGTTTTGTTTGGTTTTGTTATAATTGTTTTTATAATTATTAATTTTAAAATTAAATAATAAAATTATATTTAATTATAAATATTTTTATTAAATTGTATTAATTGTGTTAATCATGTTATTAATCGTGTTTGTGTCATATATTAACACATTTAATAAACATATCTAAATATGTTATGTCGTATTATACAGTTATTAAACGTATAAGTGTACATATTTTAAATTTAAAACATAAATAATATTCATGTCGTATTCATGTTTAACTTTAACATGTTTTGTGTCTAATTGTATTTGATACGTTTAAAACACAAAAATATAAATTGCCAGATTTAACAATTTCACCAAAGCAAAGTGTGAAAATGGTTATACCTTAATTTGATGTGGTTGTCAATATGGCACTTTGAAAAAAAAAGGAGGGGGTAAGTAATAAAGATTTAAATATGGAGAAAACAATTACTAAACAATTTGATTATCTACGGCTTGTATCGAAACATCCAAATGTCTCAAAGCTACATCAGTAATTTTACATGAGCTGATTGCTAGATAATTATAACAAACCAAATGTCAAACACATACAACACTCAATAACCGATGATTCGGAATCCCTTGTACTAGTCAACTACCACAATGCCCAAAGGTAGCTCAAATTTGCATCCATAGAAATTCCTATCTTCTTGCTTCTGTTCCATGCGGTAGTCTTCAACACCTGAGACACAAAGAATACTGATAATAAAAGTGCTCCGTCTGAAGAGCAAGATAAAGATGTGATCATTTACAGATAAATTACAACCTCGATAAGTTCACGAGCTGTCAAACCGCACAACAACACAGGTAATGTTGTCTGAGCTCCCTCGTTCATAAGCTTCGTTTATAAGTTTTCTAGCTGCAGCTTCTGCATCTGTTACATCCTGCACTAAGGCCACAGCATCCTGCAAGTAAGAGAACACATCAAGGTGATTAGATTGCATAAAAGTTAATTACCAATTTACAACTACTGAGAAATAAGGCCTCTCTATGGATGTTGCACTATAGAATGCTAGATACAACTAAAAAAATCAATACAAAGTTTCTCTATATTTTCTTTTGCTTAGCAAAAGAAATAAATGTGGTAAAAATGCTCACCTTATTAGATATGACATTCCAAAGCCCATCACTTGCAATGATTATGAAATCTACACCACCAATTTCTTCTTCCTGAGCATTGGTAAGGAATAACAATACTAAGTACATTTAGATGAAAAGTATGCTATGATTCCAATTAAAAGAGAGAGAGAGATAGAGAGAGAATGCTTTCTTAGCAGACAAAGGAAACTTTAGCAGTTGAAAACTAATAATTGGTTCAGTTGCCTCAAGTTGCAGCTGTTGCCACATTTTTTCACACCAAACTTAATTGACTCAAAGAAAAATACAAACTTTCAGATTATGTAAACCCGAACACCACCTGAATTTCAGGCTCAGCAACAACATAAGGTTTAAGTAGTTTATCGCCAAATGCACGAGAAACAGCAAGAACGCCACCAACACGCCAGGTCCCTAAAATAGTTTTGAATCACATCAGGAAAATCTTCTACAAATTTCAGTCCAATTATGCAGAAAATGCTAAGCAGTTCACTGAAATCTATTCTACTTTAATGCAATGAAGTGCAAAACAAATTCATAACCCGAACAAGAAATTCTTAAGTTAGACAATGAAAACCTTTAGTCCATAAAGGAAAACATTGAAACCAAGAAAATGCATCAGCATGACAGTACAAGCATACTGAGAATGCAATCTGATAGAAAAGATGCGGGAATGAATGACTGCAAAAAGGCGTATTTACCTGCCCAAATGATGAAACCTCCAGCCTCTTCAATCCTTTGGCGTTCATCAGATCTATCAGGCTTGTGATCAGTAGACAGAGGGACAGCTGCAGAAAGTACAAATATACTCAACCAATGTTTAAAAACCGCAGAATTCAAGTTTTTGTCATATATTCTCAAGCTTATACATTAAGGTAAAATCCAGACCTTATATATTTGTACTTTTAAATGGTGGAGAAATAGTTCAAGCCAAAGCCTTCAAAGCCTCTCAGTAGCTAACAGGATAATAGCATCTCTAACATGTGATAACCATTAAGCTATTACTTGATGGTATATGAGCCACAAGACTAATTAATTTTTATTCTCATTTCATTTTGTACATTCCTTTTCAGTCTGAATATTTAACCATAACGATTCTTAGACTAAATGATCCTAACAAGTCCCAGCCTTAGCAGAGAAGACAGCAACCTGATCCAGCTATACAGGCAACCACTCTAGAATCGCCAACATTTGCAACAAGCAGCCGGTCACCCAATAATACAGCAGTTGACGCAGTTGAACCAGCATCTCTTTGCTGGCCTTTCTCTTCATCGAGGTAATCCTCATCAGTTTGTTTAAATGCTTCAACTGCAATCAAAAGCTTGTTCTACTGAATATCCACAAAGAAATATACATCCATTGGCATAATACAAAAATATACATATATGTTTCCACATGTATAAACAAACAAGATCAAGGAATTCCCCAGCATATAATAGAGTGAAAACTTCAACTTCATACATATAGCTGTCTTTGTGTCCTTGATAAATTCAGGATGTGTACTCAAATTCTTGAAAAGGTTGTTTTTAAGATACTCGGCAGTTCTTGAACCTCCATGACCTATACCAGAGAGGAAAAAAATGAAAGCAAATCAATAATAAACCACCACATGCACCAGCATTTGAAACCATAAAATATAGTAGCTTGTAAAGAATAATGTGAAGACAACAATGTAACGCATTAGCAATAATGGCATAGAGTGGGGACATACCATCAAAAACACCAAAGAAGGCAACCATCTGACCATCAACTTCAGATATCCTTGTTTCATAGAAATCCTCCATTGAAGCCCTTTTGCCCTTGAAACTGGAATATCCATAGCTGAATTTACCAGTTCGACTTCCAGTGAGAAAGCTGGCAAAAGAACCATAACATTTTAGTTACCATGTAACATTCCATTTGAAGGATCAAATAGCCTCTCATATACAGTTTTGTCCACAAAATTTCAAAGAAAAAAATGTAACTTATATGATTTCACAGAACTAACAGGCACTTAAAATTTCAAAAGTTTAAATCTGATTATTCACACAATTCACCATTTAAGAACCTTGCCGCAACAGAGGTCAAGTGTCAAATTCAATTGGATCTTCCTTTTATTCTAATTACGCTTGGAATTTGAGATCTTATACAACCCCATTTTCGATCAACATGAAACAGGTGTATCCATCAAATTTGAAAGGTAATACAATAACATTGCAAAATATTCATGCACATTAAAAGCCAATCAGCTAAATCCTATTTCTTAGGATACAAGATTAAATACAAAATCATTATGCACTCCTCCCGGATCTTAAGTCCCACGCACTAAGAAACATCCCACAACAGCTAGATTGACAGAACTAAAACCAGTGGATGTATTAAAAAGGTTATGACTATGTTACTTAACAATTAAAAAGGCAAAGTGCATAACACAATTAGCTCGGATAAAATGCTTAGTGAGAGTAGTATCTAGCATAAAGTTATTGCCAGCAAGTGCATCATTTGCAGAGCCATATGAACAGAAAGTCCCCATTTGAAATAATAAAGGTCCTTGAACTGTACTTGTACATTCAAATTGATAAAGGGTCATTTCTTCAAATTGAAAAATATTATAACCCTTAGCACAAAACACTATACCAAACAAGAGTTACGTAAAATTATAATTATATAATAATTATATATCTAGAAATTTACAAAAAGAAAATTAGAATAATTCACCACTTTTGCAGACAAATTATGACTAATATTTTTTCTTCCTTCTAAATTGATCATCCAATACAAAGGAAAATATATATACATATTTACTTATTTTAGTAAGTGATACTCCTTTATCTGCTAACATTAAAAGATTACTTAGTAGAAACTAGAAAGAAAGAGAAAGGGGAAATGGGAGAACCTGATGCCTCCACCGCTAAAGAGAGCGTCGGGGTTCCTAGAGGATATCATAACGTCTGACTGAGGCGGCTGCTGTGGTGGTGGTTCAAAGATAGAAGGTAGGAGTTGCGGTGCGTCAGCTGGTTGAGAAGGAGGAAGAGCCTCAGCCTCGGCATCGCCACCTGGCGGAGAAAAGGAGCAGGAAGCGGCGAATGGGTCCGTCAGGTTGTTATTAGGATAAAAAGACACGTAACAAAATTTCCTTACAACCTTTTTAAAAACGATCTTTTATTATTATTATTTATTATTATTATTATTATAGAAGATGATTTCTGTTTCAGCTTCAAACTCAGGGTGCCGCCTACCGGGAGGAAGCAAAAGATAGATGTGGGGGATGATGGCCTTAAGCCTCTACTCTACCCACAGAAAAGAGTTGGGTTTTGTGAGAAATACTAGGGTCCAAACCAACCGGACATTGATTCCTAGGAGAAAATTTTTTATATTTTATGAGAAAATTTAATAATTTTTTATTATTTAAATAAATTATTGAAAATATTTTTTTATTGTTTGTATAAAAAATATTTTTTATTATGATGAATTTATTTAAGTATTAAAATAATAAATAAAAATTTATTATAAAATAATATTGATATTTGATTTTTACTAATTTAAAATTAAAATTAAGAAAGAAAATAAAAATAGATAAAATCACTAATGATATTTCCAAAAGCATTTAACTAAATATCTATAATGAAAATAAATTTTAATTTTTTAAAAAATTTTCATCTTATCACTTTTTTATCATAACTATAAAAATATAAATATTCATCAATTGTATAAGATATTTAAAACCTACACTTATAAACATGTATATATTAAATAACCATCATTAAAATATTTTTTATTATAATTATTAGTAAGATTTAAACCTATAATAAATATGTATTAATCAAATTATCATTGAAATATTTTATTGTTATTATTATTAGTATGATTATTAAATTTATAAATAAAAAATTTAATTGCATTGAATGATTTCATTGAAAAAATATTTTTTTTAATTTCAATAGTGTTGTATAATTTGAGAATTAATATTTTAATTATTTAATATTTTAAGTAAATATTAATACTCATCAAATTTATACCCATAGGCTTAGTATAAAAGTGTTTTTGTTGTTCTTTGAGAAATATCTTAGAACCCTATTACCCCATAAAAAATTTTACATCTAAAATTAATTTTTTATTTTTTAAATAAATATAAATCCTGAAAATATTTTTTAAAAAATATTTTATTTCAAAACAAATGGACCCGTTAAGGCCCAACGTTCCATACAACAAAGATAATACCATTTCCATCCTTGGGTTGGAATTGGATCAGATTTAGACTTCTTCCTGCTCTTTTCCAATTTCCTTACAAATTGGTAAAATAATGAAAAATAGATATTTGTGCAAAGTTACACAATTTCTTTGGACGTGTATATTCAAGAAATTTAGTCTGTGATGAGCGAGTATTTTATTATTTTTAGAATGAGGATCTACTCGGATATGTTGTTAAGAGCCTTTGGAGAGGAGAGTTGTAAAATGGTAATTTACTAAAATAGAGGAGGAAAAAAAAGTCAAAGTGTTTCATCAGATCCTAAGTCAATGTGCGGCGACAACCGAGATTGGCAGTTTTGATTACTTTTGGAGGTTCCTTGCATCATACATTCTTTTATATATATATATATATATATATATATGCAACATGCATGTGCTCTCCGTGGCGTCTCATTGGAGCCCTCCCATTTTGATATATGCTTTAGAATCAATTAGGGCTGTCCAACACACTCCTTTTCCCTGAATACTCTTACCTAGGTCTTCTTCATTATATAAATTTAACATGCTTCCCCACATCTGAATAATGGTTTTGAGGAAACTTAGTAATCTATCATCCCTCTGATTTCTTTGCTCTTGTTTAATGCTTTTTCTTTCAGAAATTTCAGATCCATGGGTTGGGGTAGTATAATATGAACCACAACAAATGCAAAGCAGAAACAGGAGAAAAAGATATTAGCAGGAACATCATCACTTTCAATACCAGATATTCAAGATTAATGTACAGTTCATGGCCAAAGACTGACCCCACATGAACAAGCTAAAATAAACATGGTAAAGCTGTAAAGGAAACAAGCTGCAACCTGAAGAGAGTTGCATCATGTTAACGATAGATCACCATGAGCAACAACTACTAGCTGAAGCACCATTTTGAGGAGGATTCTGTTTAAAGATGTTCTTTTTCACTCCAGATGAACCCTCAGCCAAGAGACTCGGTGTGTCCAATATCTGCAAATCCAACATTAATTACCATGTTAACCAAACTAAGCAAGCATGTCTACATGTATGAGCATGCATTTGCATGCTTCAAATGCCAATTGATGTTGAAGTAATTTGGAAACAGCATGCTTAAATGCCTGCCACCAACTAAATATTTGAGAGGAGAAGATCCACTTAGAGGCCTGAGGTTATGTCTTTCAAGTTCGGACATGATGATATACCAAAATTAAGGTAAAACTCTTGCAGATTCTTCATGATTGCAGAATTGTCAATCGGAGCAGAAGCACGCAAATATATTCACTGAATGAAGTGGAAGGGAGCCTTTGGATGTTAAATATCAAGTTGGCAATAGTATTTTGCAGCGAATCAAACAAAAATGGAATTCCATGGCCGTAAATACTGCCGGACAATGCATCCCAACAACCAATTAATTAAGCAAATAAATAACCAGCTTGTCCATGCACTTAAAATCATAAGTATTCTCCCACCCATATTAGGATATAGAGGTTCTAGTAATATTGGTACTTACATATGTAGCAATACTAGGATAATACAAAAAGCTAGGCTGTAATACTATAACTACTCAAAAATACCAGTATATTTAATATTTTAATTAGATAGTGCTTGTGAGTGGTGACTGAAGACCAATGACTAGTATTGAGGAACCAAAACTAGAACATTGTAGAGGAATAATATTTAAATGACTACACTTCATAGTGTTAAGTTCTTGCGCTTTTCCTCAAAGTTATATTTTAGTTGGATAGCATAGTAGTTTCCTCTATACAACAATCAAAATAAGATGCAAGACACTAAAATTTCAATCACCTTTAAGACAAGCTCCTCAAAGCATTGTTCCACGTTGACTCGCGTTTTTGCACTGCACTCAATGTAAAGGCATCCATATTCCCTAGCAAAGTCAATGCCCTCTTTTTTGCTGACAACTCTTTCACTTTCCTGTAAATGATGGTGTAGATATGGGTTTAAAAAACAAATTGGGACAAACCTATTTTTTGACAAGTGATCATATGGAATAAATATTAAGAAAACAATCAAGAACAGCACCTGTTATAGCAATAGGCCCATGGGACAGAGCAATACTGAACAAAAAAAAAACAACCTTAATAAAATTAAAGGACATAACAACTTCTCAAATTATACCTTATCAACTTTATTGCCAACAAGCATCTTGATGCAGTCCTGATTTGTTGAGTACAGATCAATTTCTTTAGCCCATACGTCAGCAAGATTTGTGAATGTATCTCGCCGTGTTACATCATACACTGCACAAATACGAACATAATAACTATCATCATATAAGGAATCTCTAAGACCCCAGAAAAAGTGATAAATAAACCAGATGAGTATTCAAGTATATCCAAACAAGGAGTCCCTCCCTTAATCAATCAACAAAAGGAGTACTTTATGTAAATTTTCTTCAGGAGTTAAATTCATCTATGTTCTGATTATGTAAGACAGCAGTTACACTTACACATTGATTGTGAAATACCAATGATGGCCTGATACTGTTTCTGATTGCACCAAGCAATATAACCCTCACTTTGCCACCAAAATGTTTAGCCAATGTTGGGCTAAATTGACACAGCTTTTCAAATATATCAGAACACCCAGCACCTCTCAAGTTTGAGGCCTAACTTACCCAACCTGAGGCCATCTAGCACATTGCAACACTTGCTCTAAATTTTCAAAGCAAAGAGTTAACACTTGGTGGAAGCTTTGGGAAGCCAAACTGAACCAACCTAATATTTTGAGCATAATTTTTATTGAAATGCATGTCATGATTATACTTACAAGGAATCCTTTAGCACAACGTATCAGCTGTTACTCCAAATGCTACCCACCTCTTAACACAATATATTCAATTCTATTTCATTTTATTTCTATCCTTCAAAGGCCAAAAAATTTATAAAAGAAGACATGTCCTGTGCAGAACTAAAATTAGGAAAAATGCAAAAAATAAAATGGAGAGAAAATCAATGTACACCAAATTGTGAGACTTTTCAAAGCAGCATCCATTATCTACCACGTCTTCCTCAACAATGTCAAACATATTCTTTTCAACCCTATCTAGTCCAACCTAGCCTAATGTCACAAAAATGAACCCTGCAAATAAAATTTGGAACTGGACCAGAATATTCTAGGTTGAGAATACTGTTTAAAATGAATGTCTCCTGGTATGACATCAAATGCAACCCAACCTATCACAGCTTGTGAGGTTCATTCCATCAGTCCTCTCAAGTAAGATACAGGAAGTATGGCCCTAGAATGCCTCATTATTGTGAGATTTAATAAACAAAATAGAACTACAAACATCAAAAGCATGATTACAAATTACAAATTAAAAAAAAAAAACAAGCAGAGAAATAAGGAAATAAATTCATGGATAATATAAATTCTTACTGCAAGATCTGATGGATCAACATCTATATATAACAATTGTTTTCACATCACAGGTTAAAATATAACAATAACTGATCCATAGAAGTTGATAAAAGTAGCAAGAAATGAATGAAGTCCATACCCATTATTATCCCTTGTGCTCCTCTGTAATATGAACTAGTTAGCGTTCTAAATCTTTCCTGTCCAGCTGCAAAAAGTAAAGATACGATAAAATAATTTATTTTTTCAACTGTTTTGATGCAAAACAACTTTTGGTATTCATGAAAAGGCCAAATTTTGCAAACATCCTATCCTCATGCGTGAATGCAGGTGTTAACCAAGGACAGAAAGAGACAGAGAGAGAGAGAGAGAGAGAGAGTTCTTTTATGAATAATTCATCATAAAATGTACATTTGATTCAAATTTTGCAACTGACAGTGACCAGAGAGTCATTGTAAAAATGCAGAAACCATATTCACTTTAGTAAGTTCCTGCAATATCACTATCTTAAAACTTTGAATTTGCTCTATACACTCAATATAAAAGGAAAATTTTTACCTTTTCGACTCAATTTCTACTACTATCTGCACTGTAATTATCTAAAGCTTAGTTTGGCATTGTAATGGCCTTCGGGAACAGTAATTTCAAAAAACTAAGACGTTTTAACTCAAAAACTTGCTGTCTAACAGCTCTAAACTCATATTAGTATTGCATCTTTGGTCCCAAACAATATGTCTAGAAACCCAATTCCAATGTCAATACTACGTTTGAGTAACACATTTCTTAAGATATTAACATAACTAACCCAAAACAGACAATGGAACAGGAAACCAAAACATCATCGTAGAAATGATTTAAGTTAAAATATTCTGGAAAAAGACAGTATTTACCAGTGTCCCAAATCGCAAGCTTCAGCTTTTTACCTCCAAGAGTGACGTGTTTCACCTTAAAATCCACCCCTGCCAAAAATTTTCAGTGAACAAAACAAGTTAACCCAAAAAAAGCTCTAATGAAATTGTGCGCAAAACGAGATAGGGAAATGGATAAGGCTACCAATGGTAGGAGAGAGGTCCTCGAAGGTATCGGAAGTGAAACTCAAGAGCAAGGTACTCTTCCCCACACCCGAATCCCCTATCAATAACAACTTAAACAAGTAGTCAAACTCAGGTTGACTCGTCGACGATGACTCCATCTATTCAAATCTCTTCAACGATAATAGTGAGATTGAATTTGGATCTGGAGATTGCTTGTTTTGAGAGATGCAAAGCAGAGAAAGTGTAAGAAGGTAGCGTCTAAAGTCTTCTTCTCCCTTCCGTCAATAAGAAACTAGTATATAATAAACCGTTTCTTTTTCTTCCAACCGAACCGATTACTTGCTCCACCAGTTTCGGATTTTATTCGGTGCATTGTGGAGTACGCTTTTTAGTTTTACTCCCGTCTTTTAAGTTGTCGGTTGGTAATAGTTAAAACCACGTGTAACTCGATTGATCCCTCAAGGTCCGGACATTAATCGACCTGTTTGGTTTCAGACATCTTTTGGTTCCAGACGACAATACGGTGTTCTTTCTAGGTAATAAGGGTGGATAATTGATTGGTTGGATTGGTGCAATATGTCATAATTAAGGAGTAAATAAATTAAATATTTTAAAAACTAATTAAAATTGATCGAATTGAACCAATTAAATATCAAATTAGTTAGATGAATTCAATTTTAAATCCAATAATGTATAATTATAAACATTGAATTAATTTAATTGATTACAAAATTAAAATTTACAAACATCATCGAATTAATTTGTTGCTTTTTCGCAAATCCTGTTGTTGATTGGTGGGGGCAGAGTAGTCGAGCACCCTGTAATAATTAAAACTCCCATTAAATGTTTCTTAATGTATTTGACGAAAGAATACTGTTGTTGTAACCTTCTTAACGTCGTCTCACTGGACAAGAAATTCCGGAAAAGGATATGTCTTTTCCAGTGAACTAAATAAACAGCCATATCTTTTAACAAGGTTCGAGTACAATGAAAATTAATTAAAAATAAGACAAGAATGGGAGGTAATAAGCACCCATGAAATCGATTAATTACTTTCATACTATATGTTGATGAGGTCCAAAAACACCAATCGATCAATTACAACTCTGGATTTGAAAGACAACTATTACATGCATCCATTATTTCTAATTTATTGATTGCCTTCCAAGTCAATCAAACATGGTACTGCTCTAGCTGAACGTCCTTGGCCTTCAAAGGAACATACTCTCCTAGGTAAACTTCCAGGTGATCTGACAGGGCAGATTTGTCGATGCTTTCATGGTGGTAAGATTTGCAGACGAAGTAGATCACTGTCTGGATGACTAATCCGAAGAGAATCAACTTGCAAAGCAACAAGAAACAAATGATTGCATAGGCAGCCCTGCTAAACATGCCTAACGTGCTTCCATGCACAACCAAATTCTGGAAGGCAATCTGGATGATGCCGAGAGAGATATTGAGCATGAAAAAAATGACTATCGCCACCCATAGCTTTCCCTTGATCAGGTTTTTGCCCTTGACCATGGCCTGGAACCCGTAGGCCTCTTCCAAAACAGAGACAACGCTAGCCAAGTGCCAAATAATGGTCAAATACAAAAAACCCCCCATGTACAAGATCATTAAAATAACCAACACCGCAAAACCCATGTTGCTTGCTCCGATTGAAAGTGCCCAAATAACAAGGATAAGCACAAACACAACGTGATAGAAAAACATGGCAACAAAAATAGACAAGAAAGTAACCATCAGCCTCTTCCAAACCTTTGGGACAACGCTCATGACTTTCCTAAACGTGAGTTCCCGAGCTGTATATATGCAAGCGATGGTGTAAACAACTGCAGAGGTTGAAAGAAGGGAAAAGATGAAAAACAAAGTGAAGTAGGCCGCCTTGAAAAGCCAAAAGTATGCCCATTTGTCGGAGACAACGTCAGATAGTTTCTCGTATTTGGGAGTGCCTGATCGGGTATGGTCGAGTTCTATTTCGTTGTGGATGATTTTCCGGAAGAAGAGGTTCGATACTTCAATATGAGCTAGGTAGATGAAAGTTAGAGGAAGGATTAAAGCCAAAGTGATCTTGCTGAAGACTTTTCTCCAGGCAAAGATGACTTTGTAGGATTCCGTGTAGATGCCAAAGAACCCAAGAAATTGCATCTCTTCTTGCTCTCGATCCATGATGTTTAAATTTTCCTCTACTTTTTCTATGGATTTTTTTGAGTTGCAGGGTGGGAGATGAGGATGAACAAGGGAGAAGAGAAAACAGAGAAATGGAAGAGACTGACCGGTTACGAGAAGGATATAGGAAATTGGATTGGACTTTTCCCCAGCTTTCCTTGTAATTTAAGCCGAGTCAATGTACACATTTTGAATCCGTCTATTTGGGTTGAGAAGTTCTCAATATATTAATATTTAAACCAAATACAAACTTTTCCTTGAAAAGGATGTACAATTTCATAATTATTTCATCTCATCTCATCTCATACAATTCTTGACCAAAAATTTAATTCTACCTTTTTGCTTCCTGTATTTTATTTTTCTTTAAAACTTCATCGTCACATACTTCATCAATTAAATAAAAGATTTGTCATGTTGTTCGTATGAATTATGCTAGTAAAATTATTTTTAAATGGGTATATATTTATAATAAATAAATACATAGACATTGACTTCCCACTTTTTTCTTATTTTAAGATAAAGACATTTGGGACATGAACGAAAATTTAGACAAAGTATTTGTCTATGTCATCGTTTCCTCCATGCCGAACCTAAATATTCCACACGAAAGTCCTCGGTTGAATCGAAGTCATTCAACACGCTTTTGTGTTTTATTTTTATTTTTATTTATTTTTTTACAATGAGAAATCCCAAAAGATGTATCACCTATAACTATATCATAAGTAAAAGCCCATCTATAACTATATTTAAAGCAAGCCCAAAGGGCACCTGACTGGACACCTGATCATTTGTATTTATATTTAAAGAAAGCTCAATGAGCTCTTAGCTTGACACCTGGTTATTTTCGTGTGTGACACTTTAGTGGTGTATATGCTTGACACGTGTGATGTTGGGCTTGGAGTTAGTAGGGTTTGGACTCTCGGGCTTTTGCTTGGTTATGGAACTTTTGCTTTTGTTGTGTTTGGGCTTATCTTAGATTTTAGTTTTTGTTTTTTTAATTTGGTTGGGTTTTATTTGCATTCGGCTTAGGGTGTTTTAGAATTTTGTTCTTTTATTCTTACGGCTTATATGCTTATTGTCTTCTGGCGTTTCTTCATGCTCCCTGCAATTGATCACTTTTAAATTTTTTTCCTTCTCGTTTTTAGTTTTAGTTTTAGCTTTTGTATTTTGTTTTGAGTCCGCTTGATTCGGTTGCTAGGGGTTCTTATGGGGTTTTTCATTTGGATTTGGGTTTGGGTTTGTTGGTTATGGGGCTTTTGTGGATGTCGGTTTGGTTGTTTTCGTTTACATGTTGTTCTGTTCCTTAGATAAGACTAATTTAAATAATTGAGGTTCAAAATCTTATTATCTTTTTTTGTCTCAAGCTTATGATAATGGTTTTATAAATGAACAGTTGAAAATAGCCACATTCCCATATACTCCTGTGTGTATTTTTTTTTTTACTCTTCAGACCTAATTTTTGCTGCCAATCTAAATCTTTGATTGGCATAATCCTTGACTACTTCAAATTTCTTATCATATTGAGATTATTATTTGTTCCTTGGACAATATTAATTGGATGTTCATATACACCTTCAAATGTTATGTTTGTTCTGTTAATATATATAATATATATATATAATGCATTTTACTTTTACGATTTTGTGTAAAATTCTATTAATTTATACAACTTTCACACCTTCTATTTCACTTTATTATTATATAATTGTTTTTCTCCAATTCAATTCTTTGTCTACCATTCTTACCGTATCTTCTTGAAAAACATATTGTAAAATCTGTACCACCACATCATCATTACATTCACACATTATATCAATTGCTTACTTTTACTTACAAACTACAATTATTTGATACTTTTACTTATGTCAAGTTGTAATCAAATAATTGTAGTTTGTAAGTAAAAGTAAGCAATTGAAATAATGTTTGAATGTAATGATGATATGGTAGTACAAATTTTACAAGTCAACATCAAAAAAACAAATATGAAAAATCACTAAGTGCTTGTTTGGTTTGATTTTTTTTTAATTTATTTATTTTTTAAAAGTAAAAGACAGGTCAAATAAAAATTTAAAATTTTTTTTAAAAAAACAAATAACTTTTTTTAAAAAAACAAAAATTTAAAAAAACAGTTTTAGAAAAAGCTCCAGAGAGGTCTCTCTTGTTTTTTTAAAAACACTTTTCTTTTTTAGAAAAGTTTTTCTTTTTATTTCAAAAATATCCTCATCTATTAAAAATAATTTCAACATTATCTGTTTTTATTTTTATATGATTTATTATTAATTATAAAGTTTAGGCTATATAAAAATACTTTTACTTTTTATAAATAAAAAACTATAATTAACTTTTTTTTCATTATGAACAAAAGAATTTGTGATTAATAAAAAATTATTTATTAAATACCTTTTATGACAATTTTAATCAAAATTAAAACTTATGTAAATTATTTTCTCAAACAACTTATTTATAAAAAAGAACTTATAAAAGTAAATTTATCAAATAGATTTATCAAATAGTAAAAATTATTATTTTTTATAAGAGCTTTCAAACTAAAAAAAATCAAATAGATACTAAGTCTACTATGAGCCTGCTTTTCAACTTTTGTTATTTTGACAATTGCATATAAAAATGTTTTCTCCTTTTTGTATGAAGACAGAAATCTTGCACCCATATTGTTAAATGCCCACCACTTAAGTGCAAACTTTTGATCCACTTTTTGTAAAGAAACTTATCTGCAAACCACTAAAATGCTTATTGATATTATAATGGTAACTTTCACAAGAAAATATTTTCTACAGCTAAAACCTTCAACAATTATTCTATATGTTGATTAAATTATCATTAGTCTATTTCTCCAAGTATCCTATACTACAGTTAAAAACAAAAATGCTATGTTTAGTTAATTCCGAGCGCAGCGCATGGGCAGTACCCTCGCCTAGTTAAATTATGAGCAACAAAATTATCAAAATGAGGAATCTTCTCAAGAGACCTAAAACCCATCTAGTTACATTGCAGGGGGCGTTCGGTATGTTGCATGTGGGATACTTCCCTTGCAATTTAATTGGGTGTAAAGGCATCTCAACATCTAGTTAAAAAAAAATATTAAAGGGAATGTAGGGATGTCAACAAATAGGGTTCTTATTAATTTTGAGATACTTGAATCCAAACCCGAACCAGATTAATAAATGGAGTACCTAAATCTTACAATTATTTTGAATATTTTTAAAATTTACTACTCTAACCCAAACCCTTATACATACTTATTACCTAATAATTACCCGTCTGTTTAAAAACCTGATTATATAAAAAATTATTAAATGCTTTTTACGGGTACCCAATTACCCAAACTCGGATATGTAACTGTATTCATATACAATAATATTTCTTATCCATATTCCATATAATTCACAAGTAATTATATTCTTTATAATTTAACACAATATATAGAGTATATATATTAAAAGATATTACGAGTTAATTAATAATCATGGTTTCATGAATTAATTTAATTAATTGTAAGAGTTTTTCCTTAATTACATAAAATTAAAAAAAATAGTTAAATTCCAAAACTATTCTAATCTTACAACTTCTCTTTAGGGACATATATTACAAGTTTATATAAATAAAGGTATGTATATTATAATTAATAGTTCTATAAGTAATAATTTTTATAATGTTAACATAAAATAGAAAGTAAATATATTTATATTTAAAGTATATGTACTAAAAGTATATATATAATAGTAATTATATTTCTTATAAATTAAGACAATATATAAATTATATATATTAAAAGACATTACAAGTTAATTAATAATCATAATTTCATAAATTAATTTAATTAGGTATATGGGTTATCCTTAATTACATGAAATTAAAAAAAATAGTTAGGTTCTCAAACTATTCTAATCTCACAACTTCTTTTTAGGTATATGTATTATACGTTTATATAAACAAAGGTATACATACATATTATAATTAATAATTTTATAAGTTATAATTTTTTTAGAGTTAACACAAAATAGAAAGCAAATATGTTTATGTTAAAAGTATATATACTAAAAGTATATATTCCTTATAAATTAACATAATGTATAGAGTATATATATTAAAAGACACAATCAGGTTCAGATATTAGGTATCCAAGGGGTAGTACCCGAACCTTACCCAAACTCGATACGAATAGTTAAATTACTACCCAAACCCATTAATAGGGTACTCTAGTCCTCTATAATCGAGTTGGGTACTCATTGGTACCTCATAACAAGATACCCATTGCCATCTCTATGGAATGTCTTCTCATTGCAATGTGCTTACAATGACCAATGGGAAGTGATTCCCATTGATCACGAAGGTAATCTAACTTTCCCTTTGCAAAAGGAAAGTTACAACTTTTCCTCCCCAAATTGTCCTAGCCCTAGCCCAACCATCCTCTTTTTTTTTTCTTTTTCTTAAGTAATGGTAGCTGTGTATTGTTAATGGGCAAAAGAATCCTCTTCAGTGATGTAGTTGAATTTGGCTATTTGTTTTGCTATGTATTGTATTGTGTCAATTTTGTGTGCATATATTTGGGGGGTGAGGGGGAGGGGGGGGGGGAGTTTATGCTACTTGAGTTATTTTTGTTGAAGTAGTAAATGGAGCTGAATTTTTCGAGAGGTCTCTCTTTTGTTTTAACTGGATTATACCACACCTTTAAATAAGGAAAGTAAAGGTCATGTTAAACTCCTTTTGTAACCATAAACATAAATTAAATGCATTGCGATTGCATGAATGTTTCACTCCACCTCATGCCTAATCTTTTCGTTCACCCTTAAGTGACACCACCTGTCGGTGGGTTCCCTCATGCTTATTATAATGTACCACCTCTAATAGGTCCTCAGCCAATTCATGGGCAGTTTAGATTGAACTTGGGAACAAATCCCACTAAACTAATACAAGTCCCAGATTTAGATGGCCTAGAAGTGCAAGAAAGGTTAAAAAAGAGTTCATTGGAGATAATGGAAAATGAGAAAATTGAGAAGAAGTGCAATTTGTTGGAAGAATGTTTTAACGCTTTTGAAGGATTTGATAGGTTCGGTATCATGGATGCAATTGAACTCTTCTTGGTACTTGATGTAATGATTTTAGCCAAATTTAAGGTTTTAGAGTTTGAAAGTTACAACAGAACAAACTGT